ATAGAGCTGATATAGTAAAGTGCAGCAAAGCAGCGAAGGCGGACATGCGCTACGACATGATCACCTATTGTGAGAACTATCTTATTCAGTTGTAGACTCAAACAGAAGCACTGTGTAGACACGTAGGACACTAGTAGTAACATACGTCATCACAGAACAGGAATGAGTGCAGTGAGAGCAAGATTCACAGACACGAGCTGGCGTGCATAAGCGCGTTTGACATAATAGTACAGAGACATAGGAATGGTAGGATCAGTCACGGTCTTTTATCAGAGACGGTTGCACACAAGGTTGAGAGCTGGCATGACACAGCAGAGGGTCATAGAGGTCGACTAGGAGCAGACTGCAGTGGGATGAACAGACAGGACGGATCTAGACTAGATGTAACGTCGTGACAGGTAAATAAGGAGTTGACAAACAAAGGAGGGACGGGTTAGGTGAACACAGTCACTTGTGAGGGGAGAACAGAGGGACGGGTGCTTCGAATCACAGACACAGAGGCGCAACACACAGACGGACACTTTGCAGCGATGACAACAGAGAATACGAGCGGAGGCAAGAGCAGGGCTGACAAAGTAGAGGAGCGAGAGGGGGCGACACATGGGAGAAGAGTAAGAGACAGTACTTAGACATCTGAGTAGCACACATGTAGTGTGGCACAGCGATAGAGAGTAGAAAGGAGAAGGTGAGCATGATGTAGTACATCTGAGATCTGGTAGGAGGATAGCTAGGGGGTGGGTGACAGTTTACAGCCTAGTCTTACTCTCTTCAATGAGGAGAAGTTCACTCTTCTAGTAAGATGGTGTCTTCTAGCAGTATACAGGGATAGTGATAGGGGCAGATTAGGTGGTTGAGATACTATCACGAGGAGGGGAGAGGAGGGTGGACTGGGGCGAGGGTGCCGAAGGAGTATGAGTAGAGGGTAGGGGAGGCTGTGAGAGACACGATTTGGTAATCTTCAGGGGTGATAACACAGATACTCTTCATGTTAAGGCGAAGATGGAGGGGGGGTCTAGTTGGGTGGATAATAGTGCGTAATACGGTGTCTACTTATCAGGGGTTGGGTGGACAGAGTCTCTCTGACTTATTCTTTAGCGACTCTGTGTGACGAGTGAGTCCACTTGGACAAAGATAGAAATTAGAACAGAATATGTTTCGACATGGAGACTTAGAGTACGGTTGCAGAGAGGGTTTCTTTTAGATGTACACTGTTCTAAGGAGATGAGGACTCTGTATCACACAGAATTATCACATTGAAGTAATATCTGGAGTCGTGGAGAGACGCTATCTATGTAGGGTAGACACACATCTACTATCATCAGTGAGGTGGCGGTCAGGGGAGGTAGGGAGAGATATACTGTGCGGAGAGGGGGGAGAATCTCCACGATTTAGGTGACTCGACACGAGGGTCTCTGTGAGTATGTGCACTGTTTTTCATGATGTGTTGAGAGATGAGATCAAGGAGCGACTAGTACAAGAGAGGAGAGAGTTGGTTAGTTCTATTTTAAGAGAAACGTTATATAGCTGATATGAGTCGATGTGTAAGCACATAGAGAGGGGGGTATGATGGAGATAACGAAGACGACCTGAGCACTAAAAATGTACTTGTGGATGTAGAGACAGTAGTGGAACATGGGGTGAGTCAGAAAGAGAATCTGATGTTAGATAGTTCTTCACATTATGCTCTGGAGGGAGCGAATGTAGGGAGAGAGTTTCTTTACTACTACACGTTATTGGAGTGTTGAGATGCATGCAGGAGTGCAGATGCTCGAGGGTTAACACACAGTTTAGAGACAAGGACGGATCTAGAGTACGACACGCGAGGAGTGATCTGTCAAACAGATGGGATCATTTTAAGATAGACAATCGAGAGGTTGACGTCTCTGTGAGAGCCTTGGAGTATGGATTTAATGTAGGGACACTCTCATGCTTCTGTAACATTGGTGAGGTTTTTGTTGACATGTAGGTAGGGTCACGGTTCTACACAACTTTACGAGGACGATACGATACTATAGTGGACTATCTTTGAGGAGAGGGAATATGAGATCTTAGGACACTTGCATAGAGGGAATGCAGACCTCTAATAGGAGACTGTGCACAGGGACATGTAGGAATCGCGAGGACAGGAGAGAGCTGGGGCACATAGAACTTTTGTTATAGGAGAGAGTGATAGCGTGGTTATTACGGTAGTAGTCCTATTTTTATAGATTCTACACATATGAGGTATGGATTACAGCTAATTTAAGATAAATAGGGAGTGAGGTTTGTGAGATAGAGTTGGTTGGTTGAGGTCATGGGTACACACACAAAATGTTTAGGGGAGGTTTAATTGGTTTGAGGGAGCAAGTGTGTAGGCACTACTGGGCCGGTGAAACTTATGGGCGCGCAGATCATAGAGTTATTTAGTTATCTCTTATTATTTAGAGTCTAGGACACTGGTAGAGTAGCGGACAATCTTATGATCACGTAGTGATCGTAATGAGTGAGATCATCTATAGGAGCAGTATGGGCGGAGATCTAGGTCATGTAGAGAGGTGCATTTGGAATAACGAGGGTAGCGGATTGAACGGTAAGTATCATGACAACATGTGAGCGAGACAATGAGTAGTATGGGAATGATGGACGCGAGGTATATGTCACGAGCTGTGAGTGAGATCACAAGCGAGTGGACAAAGAGAATATGTAAGACTATGTGAGATAGGTATGAGATGACACTACTCATATGATCAATCACAGTAGTATGAGGTAGTATAATTAGTAATTTGTCTACACTAAGAGATAGTAGGAGACATACACATGATTGTAATATGGCAGGTATATTAGCGCAAGACGGATGGAGACGTTGTGAGACTTATGAAGGAGTGTGAGAGACATGATCGTAGGACATGAGCGTGAAGCGAGGAAGAGGGCACATGTGGGGCACGGGGAATACTAATGTAGAGAGCAATTAGATAAGTCTTGAGGGTCGTGCGACATCACTGGATAATACAGGTGAAGTGACAGGTAAGTGGCAGGCTGTCACACAGCAGACCACATATGTTCTATGGTGCACGACGATGTGGTACAGGGCAGGGACGAGAGACACTCCAATATTTGTGACGTAGGAGAAACTGGACGTCACGTTGGGGGAATGGGTTCTGGGAATGAGACAATATCTGACGGAATACAAGCTAGGATGATATATTGGTTGGATGTGACTATGAGATCTCTGGAAGCTCGATATATTGGTGTTTCAGGTATGACTAGAGTATGAGTTATTATGCACACATTATATAGTGACACATGGTGGATTTGCTGTGAGAGTTGAGAGTACAAAGACAATGAGGCAGTCACAGAGGAATCAGGTGCGAACACGGGTGAGTGATGTATAGTCTGAATGTGACGTTTGGACATCTAGCGATGGAGTACGAGGTGATAGTGTAACAAACGCGAGGGATGGGACATTATAGAGTTAGAGTACATATAAGGCTGGAGAGGAAATCTAGGTGAGTTATTGTGGGGGACAGTATGTAGTGGATGTCTTTGAGGTAAGTTGGACACAGTTCTCTGGGTACAACTGGAGATTAAACACAAGATGAGCAAACATACATTGGGGAGGGATGCACGGGGGTGTAATTGGACAAAAGTGTATGATAGATGGGGAGGGGGCACGTGAGGAGAGTGTGACTGTAGGACACAGAGGGGTTTGAGAGAGAGTACTGGGTTGACTCGAGGTGAGTTGTCCTGATATACACACACGACGTGGGGTGGGGAGGAGGTTACTAGGGAGCAATGCACAGGTGTCTAGTGAGAGGTGTATTGCAGAGAAAGGGTCTTTATGGTGCAGATATGTTGTAGGAGAGGAAGTGAAGATCACACGGCGTATGTACACACTTTATGTCTTGATATTTGGGGCGTGGATCAGTCAGGCAGTTAGGGGGCGGCGGGTTGGGGGGGCGGTGCGGGGGGGCGCGGGGGTGGGTTTGTTTTATAGGCATGATGTGTAGTTCTATTGTCGGATGGGTCAGGTCATCATCTAGATGTCTTCTTCTCTTGTATGATTATTCATTTAGTCTTTGTGTGGGGAGTAGGATTGATTATTTGGTGAGTACGTGAGAGTGGGTGAACATCAGGTGAGTGGGTATTATGGTGTGAGACAGAGAATACAAAGTTGGTCTTGGGATGAGGGGCACTGAGATCGATACTGTTGTTTGGGGAGAGTTAACTCGTGGTGGAGGGATTATTGACTATGACTAATTGGTTCTTCACAGGAAGGAATGCAGGCATATGGGTATGGGACGGGACGAACGCGACGACGGAGGTATTGGAGGACTGGTTTGGACTGGCGAGAAGTATCATGTCTATGTAGAGGATCAGTGTGGATTACAAGTGAACAGTCAGGTGTGAGGGATTCTTAACACATAATTAATAGAGTGGAGTACGTGTCTATGTACAAGTAGGATTTACACTAGACAAAGCGGATTGAAGGGGCGGTATTCTTATGTTGTAAGTGAGGGTCTGTACATTAGATCTATAGACATAGGGAGTACAGGTGGGGTGAAGCTGGAAATGGTATAGACTGTGTGGACTTGGGGGAGTTATGTGACTGTATGTACGGTTGTGTGGAGTAATAGTGCCGTGAAGGTGATGAAGTGAGAGAGAATTGGGTAGAGGGCGGGATGGTGAGTGGACATACAGGTGACATAACTAATGAGAGTAGGAAGCGGAGACAACGACACGGGTGAGATATGACTGGGAGCGACGGGAGGTGATGGAGACGACGGTACATAACATACTAGTGTAGGTGTGTAACATACTGAGGTCAGAGGTGAGGACACACTCTTCGGGTATCGACAAGATCTAAGATGGAGTCAGGTACGAGTCGATCTATACTACTGACATGTGAGGATCATGATGCTCAGTGAAGAGAGTTAGAGTACTCTTGTTCTTAGAGGTGTAGAGTGGGGGAGTGTGAGTTAATAGGAGTAGAGGGGTGGACAGTGTGTTGGGTTGGTGATAGATTAGTGGATGATTCTTGAGGTATAGGGGTAGGTGAGAGGGAAGGGAGAGTAGGTTTTGACTAATGTGAGCACGATCTTGACAGAGGTGAGGTAGTGTGGGATTGGAGTCTCTGGAGTGAACGGGGACACAGTGACAGTCGTAGGTGCGATGAGAGAGTTAAACTGTACAAGAATTATAGTGGAAGAGTGAGTTATCTGTGTGGAGGTGAGGCGAGATGGGGCGACAATATCTTAGAGAGGGAGGTACAGGATGCACGGGCGGACTTCAGTCTTGCGAGGGAAGGGAGAAATCAAGAGATTCAAGAGATGGGGATCTTGAGCACGATTCTGGCAGAGTCTGGACAGAGACTATAATGAGGCTATCTTAATAGAGGGTATATCACTCACATGTAGACTGCAGGCACACGAAGCATTAGACGATTACAGTGTGAGTATGAACTAGTGTGGGGATTTATATTGATTATGTGAGTTGGGGTGGGGACACAGGCTGGAGTGGGGTGGATAGATACATTCAGTACATGAGCAGACAGATCATGAGCACGAGACCAAGACCTCGGGACAGATCACATTGTCGACAAGGACAAGAGATGTGGTGTAACGTATTATGATATATTTAGGACAATAGGAGACATGGTGGGATCTCTGGTGAATTCGAAGTGGAAGGAACCTTTTATGGGTGAGTGGAGGACATAGATAACATCCTAGGGGGGGGGGTGTAATTGAACATGGCGTTCACGTTGGTCAGTGCGTTGTACTACAGGGGTGTGATAGTGAACACACACACATGGAAGTTGTGTCTTACGCATTCTTGTGAGGGATATATATGAGAGGGTGGATTCTACTCGGATAGAGACAGTGTTGGTCTAAAGTGATAGTGGGTAGCGTGTGGAATTTTCACGGATGGAGTGTTTTGATATAGGGACACATTAGGAGTACACACGTGGAGACTGGGGTTCTTGTGGTCGTGATATATTAGGATATAGAGAATAGGGGTGGTGGCGGGGAGTAGGTTAGTAGGACAGCAACGAGTGTTATAGGATTTGTGTCTATATATGGGATAAGAGGGAGAGAGAAGTTGACAGAGGTGGTAGTGTAGGTTGACATAAGGAGTGGTATGACATGTATTCAATAACGTTAGTCAAGAAGATATCAATGGAGAGCAAAGAAGGTCAGTGACAGTGGGATCGAAAAATAGTGACGCTATTAGGACAACCGTGACTGCAATAACAAGACACGGCACACTCACAATGTGAGCAGTTAAGGATCTTCAATCTAGAGGGTTATGGAGAGTGTGGTGTGGGAGCACGTCGACACTTAAACGGCACACTTAGGCGACAACACAAGGATCTTAGTTGCTTCGATATCTTATTGTACACAAAGAGGTGGAAAATTGATTGATGTATAAGTGTTTATAGGGAGAACACAACAAGGAGGGGGAGTAGGGTGTGTGTAGTATGCAGTTCACAATTTCAAGGTCTGTGAGTGGAACACTCTGTCTCAAGTCACACAGGATAGAATGAGGTGACGGCATCATGACGATACACACTGTACGAGATGAACATAGAGACTATGTATGGGAAAGAAGGATACGATGGGGGGATCACAGGTCACACAGGTCACACAACAACATAAAAGACGGGAATGGGGGGAGACAACAGGAACAGAGGGGGACTATCAGGTCACAAGAGTCATGTGCAGTAGCAACAGATGATGTGGGTGGTTATATAGGATTAAGAAGTCTTACTGACAGTTTACTGTGAGATCTAGATATGTGTCTATGAGACACAACATTATTTATTAGGGGACACAACAAACAGACATGGCAATCGATATGATAATATTGAAATGACATGTAGAATGAGACTGTGGGAGAGGTGAACACAGGAGGGAACATGTGACAAGTCTTCAAGCAGAGTGGTGATGGGAGTGAGGCACAACATGAGTAGCAGTAGTATGTCTCAGATCTGGGGAAGGTGAGTGATGTAAGATGTAGACACAGAGAGTGAGAAGATCCAGTGAAGAGTGATGGGAATTAAAAGATAGTTGGGAGGGGGTCATTGTGAGCTTGTGTGGTAAAAGTGGGACGAGAAAGCAGACTAAGTGTCATGATATAACGGCGTGGGTGTGCAGATATGACTAAGAAGAGAGACTCTAGACAAGTCTGTGATGATCAGTGTGCGTAGGGATGAGAGTGAGCGAGTACATAAGTCAGCAGGGTGTGAATGAACACTTAGGTATACAGACACGTACGTTAAACAAGGTGCGTTTAATCTATAATGTTGTTCGAGCGAACATCATCTATGCGAGAGTAGGTTAGTATCAGGGCGGAGTCTGAGACTATTGGATGGTATCTAAAATCACGCAGAATTTGAAGATATCGTTACATGTTACAAGATCAGTTTTTGGAGGATATATCTGGTTTGTCGATATAAAGGTGGTCTTTGGCCAGAACTTGTGGTAAGTACACAGATATGAGAGAGTTGCGATGGTGCGTCAGACAAGGTATAGATAGGTTGTGTCAGTTCTTAGGGAGAGTCAAGGTCAGGACAGGAGAGCAGCATGAGATACAGCGAGAGCGAGAAGTTTCATCTGTAGATTATTATAAGTCAGAGATAGATAGCTTCTTAAGAGAGATTGTTCTGGGAGAGGATTCAATCACAGACTGGAGAGATTTGCATCTATGGATGGAGAGAGGGTAGTGGAGGACAGTCTGCGGTGGTAGATATGGGAGGTGATGCGGAAGGGTTGAGGATATATGTGACGAGATTTCATAGGTAGTGTGATTCTAGTGAGATAGGAGGTATATTAACCTTTGTCTTATAGACTTTCAACAGATCCAAGATTAGTACAACAGAGAGTATCTGAGGATGTGAAGAGATGCTAGCTAGTGGATAAGTGCACACTGTAGACGTAGAAGTTGAATGTGGTGTGATGCATGTATAGGAAGACATCGAGTGTGGATTTGGGTAGATCGAATCGATGGATTGGTGTCTCATTGAGGGAGTTCAGAGATCTCTCTCTCACTAGGGAGGGAGATGTTTGGATCAATACAGACATTACGAGGTTTGATTCAATCTTGATGCACTTGAGCTCTATGACTTAAGATGAGAGGCGGAATATGGAGATGGAGAGAGCACATCTTATGGAGGTTTATTAGAGAGTGGTGAGGTGGGGTGGGGAAGGGGAGTCTCTACTTGGGATATAGATATTAATGGTGATCTAATGGAGGAAGGACTGGATCAAGGTCTGGATGTGGTGTACTACGTACACGTCTTAAACAACCTTAGCGAGGGGAGTGAGCATTAGTTAGGAGATTCATAGGGTATTACTAGCTTCCAGCTGGAGAAGGGGGACTCCCACCCATGGGCACAGGGTGCGCCTGTGGTACTGCAGACTAAATTCACGTGGGCTACCCAGAAAAAAGTCCCATAGAACTAAATGTAAATTAAAACAGCTCGACCTCAGCTGACAGAGAACCTGACAGAGAACCTACAGCTTCCAGAAAAATTAGATTTTGTGGGAATTTCTGTGTCCCTTGTCATCCTGAAATGTTTCTCTGCTTAAATCCTTCTGTTTTCCTTCCCGCTCTGACTCCGCTCTGCTGCTGCTCTGATCAGCAGCTCTGATTGGTCAGAGCGCGGCCGAGCCCCTCTGTGCACGTGCATGTGAGCCACACACGCATGTTTGGCGCAAAGCATCATGGGAGCTCGTCCACTGCGCAGAACCAGGAGGACCAGATGATGCCCAAATACAGGCGAGTTCTGCTAATCTCCCGGTCTCTGTGAACCACCATGCTCTACTGAGCACAAGCCATTCATTTGAATAGGGCGCCATCTTGGATCACCGGGGCTTGGATGTGTCGGACGTCAAGGTTCCTCCCACTGTTTGAGTGTTTTCTGAGAGCGTAAAGAAAAAGTCGAAGCGTTTTCAAGGGGCACAAGTGCATCAGTAATTCACAAACATTTGTATGTACTTTATTTGAACAGGGACAGTGTACAGTTAAGCATTAACACAAAAGGAGAGATGCATGTACCAGGTTATAGCAGAGATGCTAATTTCCACCTGTAGTCCCTGGGCAGGCTGCTGTTATGTTCATTTAAACTGATTACAATGTAGATGGATACATGACTGTGTCTTACAATTACAGGCTCTAAATAACATCATTCACAAACATTAAGTTTAATAACAATAAATAAAGCTCCCCAATTTCTACTAGAATATTACACTCACTCACTCACTCACTCACTCACTCACTCACTCACTCACTCACTCACTCGTTCGTGCAAACTTGCTTTTTCAGAAGCCATTTCTTAGTCAGCCAAGAAAATGTTTTAAATGTAGTACACGCAATGATCTCTGTGGGCAGTGTGTTCCACTGACTCATGGCCGTCACAGAAAAAGCAGATTTAGCAAAAGTTGTTCTACATTTTTTGACGCTGCATTCTCCTCTAGAAGTGGATCGAGTGGTTCTGGTCATTTTGTCTGCACTCAATGAAACAAATTTTCTTAGAGGAGGTGCACTAACACCATGGATAATTTTAAACAGCAAACAAACATTGGAGTAAAATGTTAGGTTTTCAAAGTTGAGAAAGTCATATTTAGAGAGGATGGGACAGTGATGGTACCGCCTGGACTTCTTATCATGGATCTTAAGGGCACACTTGTACAGTGACTCGAGAGGTCCCAGAGTGGTTTTACAGCCCTGAGACCAGCTCGAGACACAGTATACAAAATGTGACAGGATCATGGAGTTCAGATACAGATGGGACGCCTCAGTGGTGAGTGACCCCCGAATGTATCTGAAGTTGGCCAAATTAAACTTAAGAGTGTTACGGAGTTTCTTTACATGATGTTTGAAGGTCAGGTTTCGATCCAGGGTCACTCCTAAATATGAGAATACATCACAACATTTTTAATTTTACTGCCATTAATAAAAATATCTGGACAACTGATATGCTTACCTCGGTTTGTAAAATACATTGAAACGGTTTTGTCTGTGTTTAATGTCAGACAGTTTTGACACAGCCAGTCAGCAACATTTTTCATTTCATTTGTTAATTTTGTGGCCACATCACTTTCGTTTTTGCCATGAACAAACAACATTGTGTCGTCAGCATACATGATGACATTTGCAGTGCAGACAGAGGGGAGGTCATTTATATAAATGCTAAAAAGCAGAGGCCCCAAAATGGAGCCCTGCGGCACTCCCATGGTGTAGTTTTTGAGTGGAGAGAGGGTGTTGTTCACTCTCACACTCTGCTGTCTGCCACTGAGGTATGACTTCAGCCAGTTTACTGTCTGGTTAGAGAGGTGGAAATTAGTGAGTTTGTTCAGGAGGATGTCATGACTGACTGTGTCAAAAGCTTTTCGGAGGTCGAGGAACACCACCCCCACCACTCCTCCTTGATCAAGGCTAGATCTAATCTCTTCAATGAAGTAGCAGCAGGCGGCTTCTGTGGAGTATTTGCTTCTAAAACCAAATTGTAGAGGGTTTAAGAAGCAATGGCTGTCAAAGTGTTCAATAAGCTGCTCTGCTACAACCTTTTCAAAGACTTTGGAGATAGTGGGTAGGATGCTAATGGGGCGGTAGTTGCTGACCTCCTGTTTGTCCCCAGACTTGTACACAGGCGTGACAATGCCAGGTTTCAACGCAGCCGGAAATGTACTGTTACTTATTGACTGGTTTATAGTTTTTGCCAGAGGTAGGCATAGAGTGTCCTTATGTCTTTTTAAAAACAAACTGTCCATCCCATAGATATCTTTTGCTTTACTATTATTTAGTTTATCAATACTTTTGATAACTTTTTCTTCATTTACGAGTTGTAATTTAAAAAGGGCTTCCTCGTCAACTTGGGGTTGATTATAAAAACAGCGGTGCTACGAATGATTGCACCAGTTTTTGATTAAATTAAGAAAGAATGTGGCCTTAGCTTTTCTAATTAGTGCCGTTACTTTATTTCGAAGGCTTTTGTAGACCAGGTGGTTAATTGATAATTTGCTTTTTATAAACATTTTCAAAGCAGCATCTCTTTTCTTCATTAATTTCCAGAGTTCAGCGTTAAACCAAGGCAGACTCTGCTTCTGCGTCGGTTTCCTTTTTTTCTTTTTGTATATTTAAGTATAAGATTTTGTAAGGTCACCGGGTTAACTCACTACATGCTTGTTCACATGTCTTATTTCCAATTATGTAATTCCAGTTGGTTTGGTTGATATCATTTTCTAAACGAGGGAGATCTTTTTGAGGTATATGAGTGAACAAATGATTATCCATGTCCTGGTGCTTGTGTCCAGATTTATTTAGTTTTCTTGCTACCAATGTGAGGTTGTGGTCAGATAGACCAGTAAGTAAATTGTATGTTTTTATTATCCTTTCGGGTTTATTTGTGAAGATGAGATCAATTAATGTTTGAGAAGTTTTGGTTACTCTTGTTGGTTTATTTATCATTTGGGTCATCTGATATGTTTTCATCATATCCTTAAGTTTTGTCTTGCATGCTGCATCATTCCAGTTTATATTGAAGTCTCCCATGAGTAAAATTTCTTTGCCATCAAACATTTTAAGCATTTGAAACAGTTCAGAGTAAAAATCATTTGTGGCTCTAGGTGGACGATAGAGAGCAATGATAACGAATGACATTTCTGGAGAGAGTGTGATATTGACTCCCACACATTCTAATTTATGTTTGGTGAGGTCTATCTCCTGACTTTGGATATAATCTTTAACATAAATCAGAACACCTCCTCCCTTTCCCTTTTCTCTATCCCGTCTATAAACATTGTAGCCTGGGACAGAATGTGCAGACAGGGGTGAAGTGGCACATAACCAGGTTTCACTTAGACATAAATAGTCCAGGTTAGAGTCCGTTAATAGGTGTTTGATTTCCTCTGTCTTTGATAAGATACTCCGTATATTTAGGTGTCCTCCGAAGACACCTTTTGGTTTTGAGTCAGGGTTCCATAGCACGCTTGCATGATTGACAGTTTGGAAAAGTTTGATCCGTTTCAGTGTCAGAGCCACAGGTGCTTGACGCGCGCCATGGTGCGCGCTCGCGGTTTGAACAGTCTGCAAAACGTTTTTGGCTATGTTTTCTCGTGCATGTGAAGCGTCAGAGTGAACCATCGATACACTAAGAGTAGCGTTTACCTGTGGTTGATGTTGAGAGGCCATAGGCAGGACCACGGGTCCCGGGTTTAACTGAACGTCTCCACATAAGAGAAGAACAATGCAGAGCAGGGTTTCGCCTCGCCGTCCGAACATGCTTCGCCGTGGCACCCCGCGTTCCACACTTGGGGCGATGGCCTTCCCTTTGTCCAGCACATGGGAGAATATGATGAATTGGCTCCAGGAAACCAGCGGTACAACGTGGAAGCGTCCCATCAGTGTGCGCTGCTCCACGGGACAAGGCGGAGCCACACTTTCCTCAGGATGCGCGGTGCGTTCCCGTGCAGCCGCGTTCCAGTTTCCATACAATTGCGTGATGAGAAGAGCCAGCACGCATAAGGCCACAGTCATGTTATACAAAAACTTCTGTGTTTTGCCGTGTTTGTAAATGAGGACCCATTTTCGACAGGGCCAGAATATATGAGAGAGATCAGGCGGCTTCCTTGATGTTTTAGGAAAAGTCGCAGCAGCACCTGCCAAGCTGCCGCACCTTGCTGCAGCCATCTTGCTCTCTCTGGGGGTAGTACTTTGAACACTTTGACACTGCCTAAAGCAGTGGAGAAAACAAGTAGAATGTATAGTTATGTTTCATTTGATTCACATATTATATATATGTATGTATATAAATATGTATATGTCTATGAATTATTCATATATTATCCATATAAATAATAGCCTTTCACATTTCAATATCTGGAAAAAAAAATCATATTTATAGCAAGATTCATAGTCAAACACAATAAAATTTGATTTCTAGAGTAATAACATTGATAATTTGCCTGTAAAACACTTTGGCACAGTTTGACTTCATCAAACAGCTGTGTTTCACTGATGTCAATCTGTGGCAGCTTGGTGGAGACATACCTCATTCCACTCTGGTGCATGCTCTAGAAGTGTCCAGGAGAGACACTTCTGCTCAGTGAATGGAGAGCCCCATTCCTGGAGGTATGAGATGCAGCTGTCATAGAAGTTCTGAAAGCCTTTCTTGAACGCATCCACTTGAGGGCGCTCTTGGAAGCCAACCCAAAGACTTTTCACCTAAAATAAATAAATAATTACATACATACACTTGATTGTGCAATTAATAAACCATTGACAGTTCACAATTTACACTATGAATTTGAAAACTGAATCAAGAATCAAGCTACAGACATGTGAAGGACTGTTGAGCTTTTTTAATTGGTTCATAATATAAATTGCTATGGCAACTGTGTGACTGGCATACGCATTGCCCAAAGACAACAAGATTCAGCCACGTGTGCTGTAATTGCTTTTTAACATTGGATAAAGAAAATAAATCGGGACGCCCGGGACAGAGCGTCAGTAAAAGTGGGACAAAACTATGGGGCTAGCGAAAACCTCCGGGACACGGGACGGAAAGCTCAAAATCGGGACTGTCCCGGGTAAATCGGGACGTATGGTCACCCTACCCCAGCATCAAAATGGTTCCACCTAAAGGTCTAAAAATTCCTACAGTTGTTGCCAACACCACAGACATCTGCTCTGGTGAGTTTTAACAACACACCATAAAGTATGTCTTCAGGAGAACCTTTTGAAATTGCCTTTTTTTTCTAGGCAAAAAAACTAACTTTGACTCATGTTTGAGAAGGTGTAGTGCAGACTGTGTCCTTCCTAACAAACTGTAAAATACATTTCCAGAAACTAGAAGGTGTTACCTTTCAAATGAGGCATCATAACACAACATAAGACACAAGATGTCCACACAACAAGCATTTTCATTTGGGTTCATCTTTCGAGAAAGAACAGGCAAAAATAGGTGATCCTTAAAGGGTTCAGTCGTAGTAAAGTATCACGTGCAGCCGTCGGTGATGAGCTGCTGCCTTTGGTTGATGTTGCAGAGTCTGTATGGGTTGGACCATTATCTCTGCTCTGGATCAGGGTGAAATTCTAAATGCTTTCTTAGATTTTTTTTTAAATAACAAATGTAATTCCTCCCCGGTAAGGTCTACTCCAAGGTACTGGAGAGGAGGCTACGGCCGTTGGTCGAATCTCGGATTCAGGAGGAGCAGTGTGGTTTTCGTCCCGGCCGTGGAACACTGGACCAGCTCTATACTCTCCATCGGATACTCGAGGGTTCATGGGAGTTCGCCCAACCTGTCCACATGTGCTTTGTGGATTTGGAGAAGGCGTTCGACCGTGTTCCCCGGGGTGTCCTTTGGGGGGTCCTCCAGGAGTATGGGGTCCGGGGTCCTCTATTGAGGGCCGTTCGAACCCTGTATGACCGGAGTCAGAGCTGTGTTCGCATTGCCGGCAGTAAGTCGGACCTGTTCCCGGTGCATGTTGGCCTCCGCCAGGGCTGCCCTTTGTCACCGGTTCTGTTCACTGTATTCATGGACAGAATTTCTAGGCGCAGCCAGGGGCCGGACGGGGTCCGGTTTGGCGACCACAGGATTTCATCTCTGCTGTTTGCGGACGATGTTGTCCTGTTGGCTCCAACGAACCAGGACCTACAACATGCACTGGGACGGTTTGCAGCCGAGTGTGAAGCGGCTGGGATGAGAATCAGCACCTCCAAATCTGAGGCCATGGTGCTCGACCGGAAAAGGGTGCCTTGCCCTCTCCGGGTGGGTGGAGAGGTCCTTCCTCAAGTGGAGGAGTTCAAGTATCTCGGGGTCTTGTTCACGAGTGAGGGAAGAATGGAGCGTAAGATTGACAGGTGGATCGGTGCAGCGTGCGCAGTGATGCGGTCTCTGTATCGGACCGTTGTGGTAAAGAGAGAGCTGAGCCGAAAGGCAAAGCTCGCAATTTACCGGTCAATTTTCATTCCCTCCCTCACCTATGGTCATGAGCTTTGGGTAGTGACCGAAAGAACGAGATCGCGAATACAAGCGGTCGAAATGAGCTTCCTCCGCAGAGTGGCTGGGCGCTCCCTTAGAGATAGGGTGAGGAGCTCGGTCACACGGGAAGAGCTCGGAGTAGAGCCGCTGCAACTCCACGTCGAGAGGAACCAGTTTAGGTGGCTCGGGCATCTGTTACGGATGCCTCCTGGACGCCTCCCTGGGGAGGTGTTCCGGGCACGTCCCACCGGGAGGAGGCCCCGGGGAAGACCCAGGACACGCTGGAGGGACTATGTCTCTCAGCTGGCCTGGGAACGCCTTGGGGTCCCCCCGGACGAGCTGGAGGAAGTGTGTGTGGATAGGGAAGTCTGGGCGTCTCTGCTTAGACTGCTGCCCCCGCGACCCGGCAACGGATGAAGCGGGAGAAAATGGATGGATGGATGGATGTATTTCCTCTTTTGGATTTCTGCTTGATCTTCTTGGTTTGGACCATCCTCTCTGCTCTGGTCTGGACCAGTGTAAAACCATGAATCCTCTCTGCTCTGGTCTGGACCAGTGTAAAACCATGAATCCTCTCTGCTCTGGTCTGGACCAGTGTAAACCATGAATCCTCTCTGCTCTGGTCTGGACCAGTGTAAAACCATGAATCCTCTCTGCTCTGGTCTGGACCAGTGTAAAACCATGAATCCTCTCTGCTCTGGTCTGGACCAGTGTAAAACCATGAACACTGAACTGCAGAAACATTTACAGATAGACAAAAAGTTTCTGAGAGAGAAGTGTGTCTGGAACTGGAGCTTTCCATCTTTCTACATCTCTGCAGACAAACTGTAAACCACGTCAGGAACTAGAGTGGACTCTGACTCTTTTGGATCCCTGCCTTTCTGCCAGACCGTGGGATTGTGCGAGGCCAGCTGAATCATGTCTACAAACAAAATAAAAGAAAAAAAAGACAGATTTCCAGCAAAGAGATTAGATATCTGGAGAAACATGCTCTCGTGATTCCCCTGTGCCAATAATAAAGCTTTCCAAAAGGATCAAAACTTATTTATTCAGACTGACTTTTAACACTTTTAACACTCATTAGCACGATGGCACTTTTGAAATGCTTTTTAACTGTTTTATTGTTTGAACGCATAAGGATTTTATGTGATTTTTTTGTAAAGCACTTTGGTCGCCTTGAGTGTTGTAAAGAGTTCTATAAATAAAATTGATTGAGTGATTAATAAGAAGAAAGGTTTGAGCTGCATTTTTCATTATTACAAACATGTGATGGTCATGGCTTTTATTCTGGTGTGGTTTATACAGTGGTGGTCCGTTTATTTCAGACCTGCGCCTGCAGCGAAACGTGCCAGAGTCACTAAGCTGTAGTACAACACTCGGTCCAGCTGGTGGCGCTAACACTAACTCCAGCGACGACCTCGTTGTCCAGGTTGAATTTCCTTTTCTCTTCCTGTTTACGCTCTGCTACTGTAGCTAACAGCTACTGTAGCTAACTGCTACTAGCTACAGCTCAGTGTGGATCGCGTTGTTTAGGGAAAGACACATCTCTTTAGTAACGTGCGTAAGAGCGCTGAGAAATGAATGAATAAGAATGAAAGAATGAAAATCGTGGCATACGAGCAGAGCGACCGGAGACAGTGTGCGTATGTCTGTGTGTGTGTGTGCGTGTTCTGGCGATTAAATAAAGACTGATTCTTAAATGTCTGAAGTGTTATTGCAAAAGCACCACACTGAGAGCGTGGGTCAGGACAGAGGGAGATATTCCCTTAGGAAACGTTTCCCTTTGGCCCTGCAGCGACACACCCCCCTGCGCCCCTCGACCACGGTCCGGGGCTTATATGAAAGGTTTAACACAAGCGGAGAATGCAAAAGTGCAGGAGAGACGTGTGTGAAAATGTGTGTCACAGGAAAACATAATGTGACGCACAATATCAAGTCTCCACCACACCTCATCCCCCACTCCCCACCACCGCCACACTGACCCCCTCATCTGGGCTTTGGAAGCGTGCTCAGGCCCACCTCTCCCAGCCGTGCCCAAGCACAGTTACCGCAGTCACATTGCACCTAGTGGGCCCAGCCCCACTTTAATCGGGCTTTAGGCCGTGCATGTGACCGCAGCCTAAGCTACCGTGGACCAGCACTGTAGAGTCTGAAGGCCTAGAGGCAGATTTTGGGCCATAGCAACACATGATGCTGTGTAATGATTGGATAAAAACTCTGTTAGACGCCAGACCTCCCAAATCTCAACCTGAAGTTAGGAGCTGCGGAACCAATGTAGTTTGTGGGAAAATAAACATAGAAAATATAATAATAATAATGAGAAAAACTCTATATTATATAGATTATAAAAAATATATATGTAATCATGTTTAGGCCAGCAGTGAAGGCCTTGCAGGCCTTGAGGGTCCACCACTGGGTTTATATTCCGGTGCGGGTTATATTTTGGTGTGGTTTATATACGTACTCATTTCAATTCCATGATGTGGTTCTGTGTATAGAATGCACCTCTTTGACAGTTTCTCCTCGTGAAGCAGAGTGTGGCTCAGACGGTGA